CAACTCTTCATTATTTCCCTCTGCTCTCTGGTTTCTTTCTGCTTTCTTGCAACTTTCCGTCGTCTTTCTCAGAGTCCCTGTTTTCTTACAACCCCTGGATTACCATGGCGCCTTATACCCTCATGGCTAATCGATTATAACCTCGTGGTTAATTTAGCTCCCACTGCTAACTGGCTCATTGTTTCATTACCTATCAGTTTAACCGCTGAGGGAAAGAATCTGATCAGCTGGCTCAAGTTTTGTCCCTGGCCGTCTGGCAGTTGCTGGCCAGCCTCTGATGGCTGCCTAAAGGTCAGGGGCCCGCTCCTGGTCCAGTCAGCTGTGGCCAGGGGGTAGAATTGTGTGATGCAAGCAAGAAAACTGAGCCTGGGGCTGGAGCGAAGAAGCTAGACAGGTACAGGAATCAGCACGCCTTAGAGCAGTGGTTTGCAAAGTGTGGTCGCTGGATCCCCAACATCAGCATCACCTGCACCTTGTTAGAAACGCACGTTCTTAGGCCCTACCTCAGACCTCTTGGATCAGGAGCTCAGGGAGGGGATCAGCAGTCTGCGCTTTGACAGACCCTCCCGGTGATTCTGATGCATGCTGAAGTTCGAAAACCACTGCCTTAAACGAAGCAAAGAGCATATAGACTAAAACCAAATGTTGGGATGAAATCATGAGAGGAGGTCAGGCCGCTCAGTGGGGGTGTTGATGCAAGCTACCCTTAAGAATGAGGAGAAAGTGGCATTTGTTATAAATTCCTATTTTATTGGCACTAGAAGGTCTGTGTCTTCTGCTGGTGAGTGATCTGCCTTCTCTTGGGTGGTATTATCTGCCCCAAATGAGGAGCTAAGATGAGTACTATTATCCCGCACCCTTCTCCCCGCACCCACACTTCCCTGACCATCCGAATGCTCCCTCCTCCTCAAGGCCAGCCCAGCGCTGGGTTCCCTCCACAAATTCTGACAAATCTGGCTTAATAAATGATGGTGTTTCCAGTTAGGTTTTGTTTTTCTCCAAAAAATCCGTTAACTACTTACTTTGAGTCTTGGGATATTCAGATCATTTACACCTCTCCTGTCCATTGCTGGTCGGGGGGAGGTCATTTGGTTAGGGTTTGTTTTTATGGCCCTAATTTGCATGCACATGGATCAGAACCACCACCACAGCAACATAAAGTAAGAGGAGATGGGAGGAAGAGTGAAAGGAAAAACCCTCTCTGTGCTTCCAGGGAACACGAATAGGTTAAAACCTAATACAGGACCGGGCTTAGGGTGAGGTTAGCTAGATGCAAAATTTGAAGAGGCACTGAAACACGTCAGCAATCAAATGAAGTATTGCAGTGCAGTATTTTTAAAAATCAAAATCAATGCAGTTAAAACCTGTAATAAACAAAGCATCCAAATTTTAAGTCGAGACAGGCTCCTAATCCCTCTTTAGCCTGGTTGGCTTATTACCCGGAGATGGCAACAAATATCCTCCCAACTGTCCAAGATGGAGGAAGGACATTGGAGCCCGAGTGAGAGTGCTGTTGGATGGATACGCTGCCAACTCAGTTTGCCACAAGAGAGGCACTCACCGTTCCTTACTCTTGAGCAGAGAAAAGCTATGTCAAGTACTTCCTAGAAAGAAGATGCTACATTCCTAATTCATTCAAGTCTCAGTTTATTCTCTTTATTCACAAAGAGTGGTCTCGGAACGTCTAATACATTCATCTAACCAGCAATGCTCTCCTGTTCTTGGTCAGTGTAGATGGCTGGTCAGTCCTGTCTGACCCCTCCTCTGAGGTGGGACTTGTCTGGTGCAGTAGGTGACGGTCCCACTGTTCCCTCATCTCTCCTCCTTCACCCTTTTATCCACTCTGTTCCCCTCTCATTCCTTGTATTCTGGTTTTGGGATGGAAAGAGCAGTAGAGGAGGTGGTACTCTGTTCTTAGCTCAGCCACCAAACAGACATGGGCCCCTCATGGCTCCTGTCTGTGCTTCAGTTTCGTCTGTAACAAGAGAATCTCAAAACTAGATCACCCCGTGTTCCTCTCTGCTTCTCAAGCTCTGTGCTTCCAGTTCTACCTCAGATATTTCACAGCCACAAGCTTCTGTTAACTCCTCGTCTCACTCCCGATTCTGAGGGCCTTTCCACTTGTCTCAGGATAATTCATCTCCCCTTGCTCCTTTCCATGATGGATGGTGGATGATAGGAGAGAGGAGTCTGGGATTCCCATGTATCAAAGCTGTGATTTCTGGAGACAAACAGGACCGCAAAAATCCTGACACTGTTTTGCATTGTCATTATCTCTCTTGAATAGATTCCCATTCGTATTTCATCAGTAATGTTCACCTTTAATTTCTTTATAGTGAGCGGGAACTAAAAGACACTTGGGAAGCAATCTGAAGAAAGAATTTTCTAGACTTTTTTTTTTATTCCTCTCCAGTGTTTCACTGTATCTCACTCATATTAATTTCACAAGAGTAGCTAAGTGCCATTACCTAATTCTTTCCAGAACATTCAACTTAATTTTCGTAGAAAGAACCCTTCCTGTGTATACTCATATCTCACTGGTTTACATGTAGTTTAAGTGCATATTCTGCAGAACTAGTGTAACTGGTGTTAACGTATTTAGGAACAAATTTAGCTGACTACTGATAAGCACATAACTCAGCTGCTGGAGGCAGAAGTAGGTGAGCATATTAGAAAGTGATGGACTGGTTCACAGACAGCTCCTGCGCTGTGGACATCAATCGGGATGTTTCACAGAAGAAATGGAAAGCAGAGCTTTATCATCCGAGTTCGGTGGAAATCCATTACAAGAACTTGGGCAGGGTTTACGGTATTGGTTAAAACTGTGCTTCCCTACCCTCTTGCCAATAGCTACCGTCACTTAAAGATGTAGAGTTGAAAGTCTTTGATGTTGAAATTCACAATGACATGAAACAAAACATGTCTTAATTTTTCAGTTCTTAAGTTTAAATTCGATTTCACTGCATTTTCTTAAATAGATGGGATAAAGTTTATCTTTATTTGCCCTCAAGGACCTCAGTTAAAGTGATTGATTTTTCACTTCATTCTTGTTCTCTGTCCTTATTTAACCTCCTTTATAGGTGTTAATGAAGAGTTATGTAGCCCAAAAAACCTGGGGGTGTGAGGAGAGGGAAGAGAAGACAGAAAAGGGAACGAAAGTTAATAATCTGATTTCCATACAAAATGGGTGCTTGGCTCCTCAAGGATCTAGATGCCCCTATATGGGCATCACTTGGAATATGGCCTTGCAAAATGTGCTAGTAAGAAATTTTTCTGGGCACCAGGAGGGTTATTAAAAGAACATAAAGCTTTCTGTTTCTGTATATCATGTTCATGGATACGGAAGCCGAGGGAAGTGCACTTGGCTTGTGCACTTGTGATGAAATGGCTCAAGACTCTCATCTCCCTTCTAGCTTCCAAGATTATATTTGAGCTTCTCTGTCTGGTCATCTTCACAGAGTAAGATGATTTCACCCATTTAGCCATAAGTGTGTTAAATCTTGGACTTACCTCTAGAACAATCTTTCCAAAGCACAGCTCTGATAGTGTCACCCCTTAACTCAGACAACTCCAGCATGTCCCCTTGCCTAATGAATTAAATCCTCACACCTTGCCCTGGCATTTCCATCCCTCCAAACAAGGCTTGCTCACTTGTTACTCAGGACTGCCGTATGTCTACACTCCATTCAGGACACACGGGCCTGCTTGTGCTTGTCCTCGGACCCTGGGCCTCGGCTTGTGCTCTTGTTGTCTGCTTAGAATGCGTGCATTCCCTTCATCCCTGTACCTTTTAGGCTTAGGGGAGGGTTGCAAGTAGCAGAATCCCCCTCTCCCATCTCAAAAATGACAGGTTTTATTTTCCTCAACATGGTATCTTGGTTTCTTCCCTTTTGCTAGTATTTCCCAAACTTCTCTTCCATCAGTATCCCTGTATTAGTATTTGTCCTTTAAATGGACTTACATTGTTTTCACTTGAATCTGTTTATTTATTATAGAAAGTTTGCATCTATGTGAAAAAAAAAAACAGTATCCCTTTATAAATAAAATTGAATTCACAAAAGTGAATTCAATAAGATATACAGTGATATTACCTACCATCTAGGTAATGCTTGCCTGAGGCATGCTCTGTTTGGGTTCATGTATTAAAGATTGGCAGCCAACAGAGTTTCTCCTTGATGAAATTAAGAGGATGGAAGAAGAATGGAAAACAGGGTGACTTTCTCACTGTTTTGTAGGTAATGCCATGTCCACGAACCATCTAGAATAATCTCCCGTATCATCTGTGTGTATGTTTTCCACACTTTGGAAAACAGTGCCTCTCCTCTGTGAAATGATTAGCAGCTAGAGGGCAAGAAGTGATTCTCCTCTCCATGTCCTTTGCCTTTCTGAGAATCTACTCCTTAGGCTTCTAAACCCCCCTCCTTCTGAGAGACACGGAGGCACCTAATGAACCACAGTGTTATTTGATGGGAAGAAAGGAGTAGATATTTCTGCAGCACTAGCCGATGGATTGGTCTGTCTTCTGTGAAACATCAAGATAGTAGGTTCTGCAGGCCTCTGGTCTTAGGCTGCAGAATGAGTGTGTTCCCTCAAACGTGTGTGTACGTGTCTGGGCAGGGTGTACATGCTGTGGGGAGAGAGTGGGAGAGGAAGACTGTGGCGTTTTCTGAACTTCCTTAATTCACAAAGCTCTGAAATGCCCCAGTGCTCTGAGAGTTGAGTTGGTGGGTTCCTGTCTGAGATCGGTGTTTTTGGGGAGCTGGACAAAACTCTGGAGACCATCTCCTCCCCTAGCCACCCCCCCCACCGCACCCTACCCACTCTACTCTCCTTCTGTGGATGAGGAACCAGGGTTTAGGGAACAGGTATCCAGCCAGCGGGAGCTCTGTCTTTAAGCTGCAAATTGGAGTTGAATCCAGATGCTTGTGACAGAAACCAATTACAGTGGCCCTCCTGTGACTGACGTGAGTTGTTCACAGACTTTTCCCCTCCTTTTCCAGGCTGTGCTGAGTCCTCTTATAGCCATCGCGCTGAAAATATCCCAGATTCATGAGAGAACCGGCCGGAGGGGCCCCACAGTCATCACCTGAATGGAGGAAAGATCAGTCACCAGGGCCAAAAGAGAGCGCTTGGCAGGAGACACTTCACCCACGCCTTCTTGCTACCTGTTTGTGCCTTTTATGACTTTGAAATACACACACACACACACACACACGATAATTTGCTGGTGGGTGGGGGAGGGGTGGGTGGGAAGAGAAAAAAAATCTGTTTTGTTTGGATTTGGGTCCGTTCCTCCAAATGCAACAGGGTCTTCAGTTGTCTGTTAAAGCTGCACTATCATTTGGTATCTATATTTTATCACACAAAGGACCCTCACCTTTTGAGAAAGAGTAAGTGGGCCGGGAAGGTGTCCATCATGGTGTTAGGTGAGGAAAGGTTCTAAACTCACGCACAGAGCGCAGTGCCAGAATTAGGCTCCCGCCACGCCACAGGTGCCGCTGGGCAGACCTAGGAAGACTCTCCTTGGCGTGGTGGAGGACTTAGCTTTTCATCCTGAGTCAGGTCTCCCAGGGGGAACATTGTGGGACTCCTCATGGCCTCTGGCCACCAGATGGCCCACTCCCCCTCCCTCCCATCCCCTGCCGAGTCCTGGTGCCACCTTCTCTGACATCGGAAGCATTCTACAGATCACCATGGCACACTTTCAAGGAAACACATCCAAGGGTGTTTACCTCTCTTGTTTTGTAAATACTACTATTCTAGCTCTTCAGCGGGCTGCATTCCTACAAATTCAGCCGTTCATTGTGCAGGTAGAAAGCCGTTTCTTGGCAAGACTCTGCAGATGAATGCCTAACATTTCACCGGCCCTCCCTTGACAACATCCCGTAGGGTCATACAGGGGTTTATATTCATTCCTCCTGGGAAGACAAAATACCACCATGTCTGCCATCTCTCTTTCTCTCTGCTCCCTTATCTCCCAGTAAGGGCCTGTTTTAAAGCAGTCATTGAGACACAGTTCAGATCTTACGGTGGCTCTACAAGGAGACCATGAAATGCTAGCCAAGTGGAGAACAGAGTGCTTGCTGGAAGAAGACCTTATTGGTGGTCGTTAAGGACCTGATGAGATAGGGGTGGGGGAGGGCGGCACCCCTGCCGGAAACCGGAAGTTCACAGCTGGCTCGCTTTGCCCAGGAGAAGGATACTGCAGCTCTAGCAGCCTCTGCCTGCACCCAGCCGGGACACTCGGTGCGTGGGACCTGTTTGCGTGTGTTTTGCTTCCTTGGGAACGACCCTCTCACTCACCCTGTCGTTAGCACAGATGACGTGGTGCACTTTGACTGTGAAGCAAGGGGCTTTTGCTGTAGTCAAGATGAGCGCAAGCAGGGAGACGTTCCTGGGAAGGGATTTGTGGCCACTTTCTATCTCTGCTTCTGTCAGAAACTTGCTCCGACATGTAGTAGCCAATAAAAAAGAAATTCCTGATTGCAACCTGACGCATGGATTGTGGATTTTTGCGTGTCTGTCTTGCCACGGGTGGTCACATTTTGATAAGTCTGTCTTTCAGAACACTGGCAAGGGCTGGCTTTTGTTGTTAGGACCTGGGAATTTATTACGTAAGTGGGACCAGAAAAGGCAGATGGCTCAAAACTGCCTTTGGGAGTCAGCAGAGACGAAATTGGCAACTGGTCTTTCATCGTAAGTATCTTCGTTTCATAATCACAGAGGGTGGCTTCGAGCAGAGATTCTAAAGTCATGGAATTTATCAGCCATGAATGTCATTTGCCTTAAAGCTTTACCTGGGGTCCGTGGTGGCCATCCATTGTACTACTCGGCTCTGTGTGCATCCACGCAGTTGGATGCGTTATAAAGCTTAGCTCCAGGTCAGAAAATAGGTATTTTTTTCTCAAGTTGCTGAATTTTGAATCATCTCTAGCTTCAAAGTTCAAATGTAAGGTAATCTTCATTTTAAAAATCTATTTTTTTTATTTCCAGCATGTGCGCCCAGCTGCCCAAGTATTCATTCATTCACTCATTCATTCAACAAACGGGCTGAACAACTACTCTCTGCAGAGTCCTGTTTGTGGTGCAGCGAGGAGATACACAAAACAGGATTCCTGCTCCTAGGAGCCTATAATGTGGACACGGCGGGCTAGGACATACATACGTGAAGAAGCGGGAGGACATGAATGTTCTACTAGAGGCACCAGCAATGTGCTATGGGAACACGCGGAGGGATTAGCTCTGAGATGGCAGGACACTAAGCACTTTATGGGTTTCCTGAAGAGTGGAGTTTCCTGAGACTTGTAATCATATATATGATTTCACGAGGGGTCCATGTAGCCAGAGCAAAGACAGAGTTGAGAGGTAGGATGGCTAGAGAGGATGCTTGCGTTGGGTCTCGGGAGAGAATGGCGCAGATGAGCGAGAGTGCAGGAAGCACAGAGGTAGAAAGAGCAGGTGGAGCACATGTTTGGGCCCAGCTATGGAAAGAAGCAGCTACACGGCCACCGATTTTTACAGAGCTTTTTCTTAGGTTGCCCAAGGGAAGATCCTGTGGTGGCTCTGGGACACAGCCTTTCTCTCTGGAACCTGCTCAAATTCACGTTGCCAAGGTATTTCTTCTTTATGTAAAATCCAAGCTTCTCTTGCTGAGCTATGCCTGCAAGTCCTCTTGTCTTCTCCTCGGGAGAGGTGGAAGGCAGGAAGTCACTTTTCTGCACATAATGGTCTTTATGTCTTAAAGATGAAGCTCCAGCCACCAGTCTTTCTTAAGAGTAAATGACTGGAGAGGTCCGAGACTTTTGTGGGGACCACAGGAGACAATCCTAGAGGAGAGGGTGGATGGAGTGTGGCAACTGTCAGGCCACTCTTGTGATGGGCTAATATCGAGGGGTTCACTCGCGACACCATGTGCCCCCAGGACAATGACAAGCAACAGTGTCTACAATGCAGCGGTTCCCAACCAGAGCAGTGTTTGGAAATGTTGTATACGTGCCAGGGAGGCATTTGAGGGGACGGGACCCCAGATTCTAAATACCCTACCAGGGGTCCGCCAGTCCCCTAGAACAAAAAATTGTTTTGCCTCATTCATGATTCTTGGGTTCATTAGCTGACCTTGAACATGGCAGGCAGCCATCATTAAAATGAGATGTTTATCCAGTATTCCTGATCCAAGGTGCAGCCTCTATCCACAGGATTCACGAACAAATAGTTTTTTATGGCATCTCAGGCTGAAGGGCTTGGACATGACCTGAAGGCTTTCTACACAGGAAGCCTCAGATCGATGACCAGTCCCACGGTGGCACAGTGGGCTGACGCTTGGCTGTGCTGAGCCAGTGTGCTCTGCAGATAATGTAGACATCCCCCGGGGAAGATGGTGTGCTGACTTCTGATTGGCCAGCTGTGGGTCAGTGTAAGGCATGGGATTTACTTTGGCAGTGATGGCCATCAGCCGTGGCAGGTGTGGGGAATTTGAAAAGCACCTGTGGGAGAGGGGCGTGCCCAACAGGTGACTCCATTTTATTGCTTGATCATGCATCTGGTAGTCTTGAAACACGTGGACACTGCCATCCCAGACACCTGCCTTGACAAGATTTCCCTCCCTGAGTGGAGAAGGGCTTGAGAAATCGTGCACCTTTCGAAATGATGTAACTGCCGGTAAATCAGTGTTTGGCCCTTCAACAGTTACAGACAGCAAGAGATGATCAGAGGTAGCAGAGCTTAGCGGATGCCTGTCCCACTCCCACCAGCTGGAGCCCTTATTGGTGGAAATGGCTCATGCAGTTGGCAGCCCACTTGGTATGTGAATCAGCCTAACCTGTCATGGAAAATTATAGAATATGATGAAGCTATGCATTATAAATCCACGTCTTTATCATTTTTTCATACTTTTAGCACCTAATAGGTGCCCTGCAATATGGGCGAGCTGGGGAGATACCTCACCGAAGACTCTGTGTTTAAGTAGAATCTTGAGGAATGGGTAGAACGGCCAGTAAAAGTACTTGCGAGTTTTGGAGTGGAGAGGTCAAAAATACACACGCTACATCTCGGATATGCAAAAGATGCAGCATAATGTATTCTATAACTGACCTTGTCATGCTCACCTTCTGGGGGATGGAGGGAGTACTTAGAGCCGCCACTCAGAGGAAGGTTATAAGATGAAAATAGTGGAGGAGCTGTCACCTCTGAGAATTTCCCATCGTCGTTGACAGGTGAGCCTACCATTCCCGTGTGAGAGAAGGGAATGAGCAAAGAACTGTAGTGAATATTTGCCTCTTCTTCACTCTCTTACAATGTCTGTGCCCTCCTTGCCATTCAGGGAATCGTGGTTCTCCATCCATCACCTCTAATTGTACCATAAACTTAAGGAGGAAGATGGGATACAATGTCTACCTCCTTGAGTAAGTACCCTAGGGGTGGCCAGTGAATTCTTATTAAGCACAACGGAACACTTTTGTTGTGACTTGCCCAGCGGGTTTTAATTGCTGGGCCTCTCAAAGGTAGGATTTGTTTGGAGTGACACCCGTGTCCTTGATGCTGGCTTCAGAGTACATCCATTTTCAAAAAAGCAATAAATGTCTATTAGTAGTACTTCTTTTCAGAAAGCAGCTGGCTTATCTTCTGAATCAATAGTTGGTGTTCGGTGATGTTTGGGTTTTCAAAAAGAATGAACTCATCTGGATGGTTTGTTAGTTCTGCATGGAGAATCAAACTTTGACTTATGTTCCCCTATTGATTTTTTTTTTCTGATGCAAAACAGAGATGAAAGAGAGGGAAGTTTGAGTACAAAAATTTACTGCAGTAAAGAGATCAAAACAATTTTCTTATGTAAACCAAAAATAACACGTTTCATATGACTACCAGAAGTTGGAAAAATCCATTTATGACCAATGCAAACTCTGGATGAAAGCCCAGTGACAGAGTTGGTTCAGGCCCCTGGATGTGTTCAGACCCCAGAGAAAATTTCAGGGTAACAGTCTCAGTAGAGGGATAGAAAGAGATGACAAGAGAGAAATAATAAATTGCATTGCTAAGAAATGGTCACCTTCCCATTGGACAGCCATGAGTGACCTTCATAACCAGTTACGCCCTTGAGGTCAAGGATTCAAATCCCAGATGCCCAAATGCATGTTTCATGTAAAAGGACCAGGATTTCCTTTCATGTGGCTTCCTGCGTATTTGTCAGGACATGCTTCATCTGTGCACTCGGCAAAAATGGGAAGAGGAGGCCATGGAGGCCCCATTCCATCTTGACAGCCCTTGAAAGCTCTTCATCCTCACCACCACTATTCAAACCCCCCTGTGCCCATTCACAGGGGGCTGCCTGTCACCAGTAGGAGCCACTATTCATCATCAATGGAATGATCAGAGAGAAGGAAACTGCACAAAGAGGTGGGGGCCAAGCTCCTACGCAGAAAACATGGAGGGCGTATTTACGTGTTAAAAGAGAACCCTATTATATGTCAACTATAGTGAAAAAATTTTAAGTCTTTTTTAAGTTAAAAAATATAAAAGAGAATGCTAGAGCAAGCTCTCTGGCTTCCCCAAGGGCTGTAAGGTATTGTACCAGTCCTGGGGCTCCACTTCCTGAGGGGGCCCACTTTCTGAAGCTGGAGAGAAGTCCAGACTGCTCCGTGGGAGAAGGGAGCTAAGACAGGGCTAACCTAGCACAAATGTTTGAAGTAAATACACTCTCTCATGCCCCTCTACTGGAAACAACTGTATGCTATGGGCAAAGTTTCTCAATGCCTCAAAGTCTCAGTTTATGCATCTGTAAAATGGGACTAACCATTGCACTTATTTCTGAAGGGTATAATGAGGGCTAAACAAAAAGCACAAAACAGTTCCCAGCACAGAATCCGTCATATAAAAGACATTCCATAATTGTTAGATAACAATCCTAGCATAAATTCCTCACTTGATTGAGGAAGAAACTGAGGCCCAGACAGATGAAGATTCTTGTCCAAGCTCTAAAGCATCAGGCTGCCTCTCTTCCCACTGTCCTGCCACCCAACATGTCCTCGTGTGTTAAAACATGTAATAAAATATAATAAAGCTGAGGACGAATCAGTGGGTTTTTTAAAATAAATGTCCCAAGCCTAAAAATGCATATGGGTCTGTATCTTGAGACCCCAAAGAATTTTCTGTTAAGGATCAAAGTAGTACAATATAGTCTCTTTTCTTTCAGATTCTAGAGATTTGCAGGGGGGATTTGTTGAAATACACATGGATATTTTAATGCCTTTGAAGATTTATGTCAAAATCTATATTAATACAACTTATGGCTAGTACAGTTTTCCCCTCTGAATTCTGTGTCTTATGGATTTTTAAGTATTCTGTCTGTCCCACTTGAGTCTCCAAGAAACCTTGTCATCTCTGCTGTACAACCAACCCGTTTTTAAGATATTCATTGAAAATTTTGTTTGAGCCATTTTGAAAGGACATATTATAGTTGTTTTCCACGTAGAAGTAAAATACACATAATTAAA